TCTGTGGGGCTATGGAGGCTCCTCCCTGAGCTCTGGGGGGCTGTGGGGCTGTGGGGGCTCCTCCCTGGGTTCCCGGGGTCTGTGGGGCTATGGCAGATCCTTTGGCTCTGGCTCTTGCAGCCCTTACTCCTCCAGGTACAGCAGGTACAGCCGCGGCAGCTGCGGGTCCTGCTGAACCCCCCCAGACACATCCCAAGCGAGGGTGAAGATGTGATGGTCCCACAAACCAAGAGCTCGGAACCAGCGCTGCCCCATCCCAAGGCCTGGGAGCTGCAGCCCTTTCAGCCCCTTTTGGAATTTCTCCCCTTCATTTCTGCTTCCATTTTCCTGCCTTCCAAACTGCCCGGGGTAAACACATGACAGAAGTTCACTCAAACCAACTCCTGAGCCTCAGAAAAAACCACCCCCAGATCAATCACATGGGGATGTACCTCTGGCTGGAGAGCAGTTTCTTAACTTTCTTGGAGACTCTGAAATGGATTCCTTTGCTCACTATCATTAAAAGCTTTATTGCATCACAGTTGCCATGTTCTGGTGGTCTTTTCTCATGTTTTCACCCTTGTTGTTTGTCCTGGGAGGAGCCTCACCTGGGCAGGTGTGTCAGGAACAGCCTAAACTATCACAGAATCGTGGAATGGTTCGGGTTGGAAAGGGTCTTAAAGCTCATTTAGTTCCAACCCCTTGCCAGGGACTGGGACACCTTTCACTAGACCAGGCTGCTCAGAGCTTCATCCAACCAGCCCTTAAACTCTGGAGACGAATGTCCTGCCCAAAACCAGTCAGGGATTTCAAATGTCCAAGAGCAGTGGGAAGCCCCTGGCACAGAAGGAGTTACTGCCCTGCCCTCCCCATTTTTCAAGGGCATTTTGGAGAAATTTGGCTTCTTGGTTGTAGCTCTGCTGATTAAAGTGGGAGAGAAATTAAATAGTGGGTCACTAACTTGAAACTCTTTCCTAAACACATTTGGCTTCAGTAAGAATGTCTTCCAGGTAAATCTTTTATCTCTTTGAACTTCAGGTTTTCCCTCAAATACTCAAACTCTGCCCTCAGTCATTGTTTCTGCAGAAGTTGAGTCAATTTTCTGTCAAATCCTTAAATAAAGTTTCCAGGGCCGCAGAATGGAATTTGGAATCTGAAGTGTGGGGATGGACTCTCTGTGTAATAACGAAATCAAAAGTGTTGGGTGGTTTTAGACAGAGAAACAGCTTCTCCAAAGGGCTAATTCATCCACACCAGCAGGAATCAGGAGAGAACAGAGTTATGGCTGGAAAACTTCAGGGTAGGAAATGCCTCAACCTGGATATAAATCCTGCCCCTCTGCTCTGGTGAGATCCCACTTGGAACACTGAGTTCTGGTGCTCCAAAGATTAGAAGGTCATGGAATTGTTGGAGCAAACTATTCTAGGACTCTCTGACTCCACAGGAGGGTTCCTGCTCCCAAAAAAGTGCTCTGAGTGCACTGATTTCACTCAGAGCTGGGCCATTCCAGCTGTGGTTTCATCCTTACCCTTCACCTGTGCAAGGATGTGACTTTTCCCCATTTAAAGAGAAGAGCAGTGTGTAACCACTAATGCATAAATTAAAAACTCAAAGTTCATTTGTTTGATGCAGAACAGAATCAGTTTAATGAGGAATAAGCGTTCACAGGAAAGCATTGCAGGATATCAAGAACATCAGGTTGCAGGGAACCCCTTCCAGAATTGTTCTTCTGCAGCTGGACAGCGAAGTTGCATTTTAGAAGAATATAAATGACGTGTTTTATCCCATTCATTACACACAGACAGGAAGAAAAAAACCCATAAGACCACGAGTAGGGAGCGAAAAAATTAAGGATGTGTTGAGTGTTCCCAGTTCCACTGGGTTGGGGCTGGCAGTGGTCACCACAACACCTCTTTGGGGCCACCACTGTGGATGGAGATTGGAACCCTCAGTTGGTGGTTGCTCCTTACTCAGGGGGTATTTCCACGGGGTTCAGCAGGACCAGCAGCTGCCACGGCCGTACCTGCCGTACCAGGAGTAAGGGCTGCAAGAGCCAAAGGATCTGCCATAGCCCCACAGACCCCCATAACCCAGGGATCCATATCCCCCATAACCCCACAGACCCCCATAACCCAGGGATCCATATCCCCCA